CGGTGTGTTTCCAGAGCCAACGTGTTCCCAGAGTACCTGTAGGTCCCTGCACTGCTCAGACTGCTCATCCCTACCTGCTCCTCAGCTCACCCTTGCAGCCTCCTCACTGTCTTGCAGAATGGCATCAGCTCAGCTTCTCCTTTGGGTCCTCAAATGATGCAGATCTTCAGAGGCACCTCTGAGCACCAAAGGAAGGAGCTGCACCAGAAACCATCAGGCCACCCTTCAGCATCACTCAGCCACGTCTCACCAGGGAGAGGGTTTGTCAGGGGTTTCAGACAGAACGTTGCAGGCACATTTGCAGCCTGGAGAAGTGGCACTGAGGAGCCTCAGGGGATTCCCACCATTGGCTTTGTGTATCACGTGTTATTGTTAATACAAGGGCGATACTATTACTTTGCTACTGATGGGGTAATAAATGTCCTTAGATTAATTCTGCTGAAGCTTAATCAATATTGGGAAGTTTATGTCATGGGTTCGGTACTAATCAACAACAATTACTGCAATATAAGCATTAATGTAAGTAACCATATCATGATAAAGAAACCAAAACTGCTTAACAGAGACTTATCTTCATCCAGTGATACTCCAAAGTGCTTCAGTGACTGATTTACACAAAACATAATCTGACTTCAAAGCATACCTGCTCCAAAGGAGGGGAGGAAGAGGACCTCTGAACCCAGCCAGCACACCACCTGGGCAGGACAAAGGTGTTCCTACCAGCCCTCCTGTGAGCACTCTGAACCGCAGCCACGCTGCAGTGGGCTGGTACAGTCGTGCCACTGGGAGAAGCTGATAAAGTGAGAACTGAAAACACTTTCCTGGGAATTACAACAGGAACATGTGCAAGTATCTATCTCTGTGGAGCTGGGCTGGTTTGTGCTTCTCTGGTAAGGTGCCAGCTCCTGTCCACTTCCAGACCTCACAGGGGGATACACCGGAGGAGAACATTGCAGCAAGAGTCACAAGAGCACAGAATCCCGGCCTGGTTTGGGGTGAAGGGACCTTAAAGCTCCTCCAGCTCCAGCCCCTGCCACGGGCAGGGACACCTTCCACTGGAGCAGGTTGCTCCAAGCCCCTGTGTCCAACCTGGCCTTGAACACTGCCAGGGATGGGGCAGCCACAGCTTCTCTGGGCACCCTGTGCCAGCGCCTCAGCACCCTCCCAGGGAAGAGCTTCTGCCTCAGAGCTCATCTCAGTCTCCCCTCTGGCAGGTTCAAGCCATTCCCCTTGTCCTGTCCCTCCATCCCTTGTCCAAAGCCCCTCTCCAGGTTTCCTGGAGCCCCTTTAGGCACTGGAGCTGCTCTAAGGTCTCACCAGAGCCTTCAGCTTTCCACAGAGCCTTTGATGAGCTGAAGATGACTCTCTGGGCTGAAGCCCTAAAAGCAGGGACTGGCAGGGCATGAAAATAAAAGAGAATCAAACCCTTAAGCAGGAGCTTAAAAATACATTTATAGAACTGCAAATCGTCCCCAGAGCTCCACTGGTTGTGAAGGTGACGTCCTGTGGATGAGGCACCTGAGCATGTGCTGCAACACAGAACAGGCATTACAGGGGGCAGAAAGACCAGGCTACACACATATATTCACTGATAAAGCAGCACTTGTACCAGCATGGCATTATCACCTGCTTCGCTCTCATTGTGTGGATGGTTTTACTACAGACTTTGAAGCAAAACCCATCTTTTCATCCTGCATACGTAGAGTATGGGATCAAAAGACAGGTGTGAGCTACATGAAGTGCTCAAATTCACTCGAACCACAGAAGTTTGAGGAAACATGCACAAAGTTCTTACTTTATGGGAGTGGTTCACAAGAAGTAGCTTTTTACTACTCTTCTTTAGAAACACTCGTTCCATGTTGTTGTCTGTAGAGCAGGGGAATTCCTCATAAACGCTGCAGTTTCTGCTCCTGGCCTCTTCACTTTTTCTTGGTCCCCCTTTCATGATGTCATCAACATCATTAGGTGGCCACAAAGGACCATTTTTGGGTTCTATGCTCAATACATTGGTGGCACCTCTGCTGCTCCTGGCTTTTGAGCATTTCCAGTTTGCTCAGCAAGGCGCATCCAGCCTGAAGAGTATTTTTAGTGGATCCATTAATATAGTAAAAACGTTTAAACATCAAGAGCTGAGCAAAGACCAACTGAACCACAAGCTGTAAACCCCACTCTATTAAACCAAATGTAAACTGGAGGCAGAGCAGGACAAAACATCCAGCAACAGGAGCATCACAATCTGAGGTAGGTAATCCTTCATCTACCCTTAAAATACTGGTGTTTGAAGCACAGTGATTATTTGAGCTACTTTGATGGATTTTACCTACAATATGTAACAGAGCTGAGATTTAAAATGATGATTTCCACAGAAATAAATGCAGCAGAACTCCTTTTTGGTGGGGTTTTTAAAGGTACTGTACTTTTTTTTTTGGTTGCTTTCTATTTTAAAGCTATAAATTAAATGACTGCCTTGTTCTGTGTCCAAATTTTAATTCTAGCTTTCTTGTCTCTTTCTGCCTTTTTTTAATGCCTCTTTGCTCGTCAAGAATGAAGCCAATACAATTGCCTCCTTGCCTAAACCCCAAGATTAAAATTTAGCTGAGAGCTCTATCCTGTGGATAGGGAGCCAGGTTCACTCTCCTTCAGCAGAGTTCATTCTATACGGGGGTTTTCACATAGATAAAGCTGCTCACTAACCCTTTAGCTTTAGTTTAGCTTCCATCTAACCCATAGATCCTTTGCAATAGGGGTCAGCCACCTGCTCACGTTGCTTCCTGCACATCAGCCACCACCTCCTACCTGTGAATCACACATCGTTCAACACCAGCAGACGCTGTGAGTGACCCAAGAAAGGCTGTTTTAGTGCTGCAGGTTGGCTGAGTGGAGCTAAAGCTCAGCTGAAGTTACCCAATATAATAGTTTTCCTCCTGGAAAAAGCTGAATCTTCTTAGCAGCTTGAAAACCCTTCGTGGTGGTGGTGGCAGACACAGTTTGTACTCCCCAAGGCTCTTTGACAGCACAGTGCTTGTGGCTGCAGGGCAGGAAAAGGAGTGAATAAGGGGATTATGGAGCAGTTGCAAGAGAAGTTGCCTAATGAGGCAAGGATGCACCCACCCACCTCCTAACTAGGTGTGGATACTTCACAGCTCTGTTGTGAATGGACTGCTGCTGGGGAGAACTTACCCTGCTAATGCCAGCCCAGAATACATCTAGGTAGAAAAAAAGACTCATTCAGATGTTAACCTGAACATCAGGGTCACATCAGGTGGGCCAGCACATGGTGATGCTTTGGCCTCCAGCTAGCCAACTGTTTCCTTATTTCAGCATGGCACCGTTTCTCCCCATGTCCCTAGCCCAAAAATGAGGAAGATGGGGAGTGCACTGGCTCAGGGTAGTTGTGTACATCAGACAAGTTTAAATGAGCGTAGGGATAATATTTTTTCCTGATTTCTGGATGTAAATAAGGATTTTCAGCTCTTCCAGGGCATTCTTGTTAGCTCCTCCTTGCTTCAAGTCCTCCAGATTGGTGACCATTATGACATTGAAAGGCTTTAAGCTGAAAGGGGAGATTTGAATTAGACATTAGGCAGAAGCTCTTCCCTGTAAGGGTGGTGGGACATTGGCACAGGGTGCCCAGAGAAGCTGTGGCTGCCCCATCCCTGGCAGTGTTCAAGGCCAGGTTGGACACAGGGGCTTGGAGCAACCTGCTCTAGTGGAAGGTGTCCCTGCCCGGGGCAGGGAGTTGGGACTGGAGCAGCTTTAAGGTTCCTTCACCCCAAACCAGGCTGGGAATCTCTGAATCCACATCCCCATTTTCAAGTCACTTGTCTGGCCTCTGTCTGGCTGCAATGAGGAAATGGCCGAGATTCTGTGGAAGGTACTGCCCAGTGTCAAGCTGAACAGGGCTGGGGTGACCCGAACACCTTCCTTCCTGTTTGCTGAGGATACAGAAAGCTGCTTTGTGCAGACAGATGTGGTCATCCAGCTGTGCACACACATCCCCAAAGCAGAGCTGCCTCCACTGCCTCATACATGGGGAAGAAATTGGAGGGGAACCTGCCTGAAGAGGATGCTGTGCCATCTGCATCACCGCAGCGCTTCAGCATGTGCTGAAAAGGGAACAGAGCATTTCTGTAGCCCCTCACCACGCTTCCCATCAGCAAAGGGAGAGCTCGATAGGAGCTGAGTTTGCAAGCTGGGAGTTCACAGTGAGGGGAGATGCATCCCCAGCACAGGGTGTGCAAGGCACAGCAAGTGACTGAGCCCATCTCCTTCCCCTCTGCAGCACATAGGGCTGGAGCGTGGGCAAGAGCTCACGGGCATCCAGCCTGGGATGCTGCCACCAGCACTGGCCAGCAGGACTCAGCTTGGCACCGTGGCAGGAAGGAATAAGGCTCCTTTATCACACTGAGCCTCTGCTGTTTCCTTGTTCATGTTTCCTGAATGCTTTGAAGTGATTCCAATGCACTAACAAGTGTGAACTAAACCACATGATTTACGTCTACTGAGGTTTTAACTGCGGTGGGGGTTCGAGCTGCAGTAATCCGCAGCCAATCTTTAATTCAAACCAGGAAGTAATTCCTACCTGGAATAGAGACACCCAGACACGGTCTCTGTTTGGATCTGAACATGGGTAACAACAGTCTGTTATAAGATTTGTTTGATATAAGGATTGCAGGGAGGTAATATAAAAGGGGTGGGAAGGTAATTGAGGCATGGCGTGGGATGTTTGAGGATGTTGGAATTCCCAACACCTGTTTCTTGACCTGAAATAAAACAAAGAAAAGAAAAGGCCTAATGCTGCAGGTCTGCAGATGCTGGCCCAGTGGCAGGCTAGGACCAACTGCTGCATCCCATGGCTGCTGCTGGCTGCTCTGTGGTTTACCTTGGCGGATCCCAGGCACAATCCCTCTCTTCTGTTTGACAGCACAGACACCAGCACAATCCCATATCCAACGTGAGGTTTGTGAAGCTTGCTGAGTGCACATTCCTGCAGGCTGGACATGGTGTTTCTCTTTCTCTTAGCAGCTTTGCTGCAAGGTGAGTCGCCAAGAAACTCCCCAGCCACTTTACAATGATGAAAACAGGAAAAGCTGGAGCTGGGACACAGGCACATCCCTGGCTAAACCCTCACTTGCACACTGAACACCTCCACCTGCAAGAAGGAAGCTGGTCAAATGTCCCTGCCCGCTGGAAGTTGCAGGGAGCTGGCAAAGGGATGGCAGGAGCTGGGAAGGAGAAGCCCAGCTCTGTGCTGCTTGGCACTGCAGGCAGCCACTCGTGCCTGTGCAGAGCATCTGCAGGGAGAAGAAAGTTGCCACTTCAGAGTTTGCAAATGCCAAAGGTTATTCTTAGATGTTTGCTGTTAACTGCTGCCCTGGACATTTAACTCCAGGCAGGACTGATGAGGGTTTAGGGCATCCTTTAGGGGGCATTGGGGGTTTCCTTCTGCGCTGCAGCCCTGCACCACTCTGCTTGCTCAAGTGCCTTATGTGGCACTCAAGGAAGGTAACACCACATCCAAAGTAAACTCTGAGCTTTCTGAGCCAGATGCCCCACTTGTGCCACTCAATCACACCCCTGACTCGACTGAGCTTTGCCAGGTTTTGCCAGGTGAAGATCTGGTTGTCTCTCAGCAACCAACAGCTTCTGTTTCTTTCTTTCCTTCCCCAAAAGAGCCAGTTTCAAGCAGCTTGTACGGCCCCAGGTTTTTGACAGGTGAGGTTGGAGGATCAGTCACCCACCAGTGCTTCTACTCCATCAGCCCAGCCAACAAATACGACCGAAAGTACTGTTGCAGAATAGCAAGAAGTGGAGTTTGTTTCACCATCATCTCCACAACTGGCTACATCTCAAAAGACTACACGGGGCGAGTGTCTCTCAAGGACATCCCCCAGAATGGCACCTTCATGGTGACAATGACAGACCTGAGGAGCAGCGACACCGGGTCCTACCGATGTGGCATCGGCATCACCAACAGAGACCTGTACGTCAGCCTGAACCTGACAGTGTTGGCAGGTAGGATGCTGGCAGGGGAGAGGGGAGGCTCTGCTCCACCAGCTCGGTTGGGGCTGGATGCTGGAGCATCCACACACTGCAGCTTAGCATCTTTTCTGACCCAGTGCTATTAACCACATATTTACAATGATAGGGTATAAAACCTCCCAGATTTGGCCAAATAAGCTGTTCATAAACGTAAAATTAAACGTTGGATGCTATGCACTGCACAGTGCCTGCCTTGCTCTCTCCTTACAGACGCTGAGGTGCTGGGGCCGACTGACCTGGTCCAGGGGATGCTCCGTGGCTCTGTCACAGTCCTGTGCCCACCCAGCGACACCCAAAGCAGCAAAAAGAGGTTCTGGTGCAAACTGGGGAGAAGCAGCTGTGTTCTAATAGCTGACAGTGATGGCTATGTGGGAAGGAGCTACCAAGGACGGATCTTTATCACCCCTCAGGAGAGCTCTGGAGCTTTTAAAGTCTTGATAAATGACTTGAGAAAGGAAGACTCGGGGCTGTACAGGTGTGGGATGGAAAAGCTGAGCCCACTCGTGGTGGCTCTGCAGGTGACCACAGGTAGGATGGATGCTGGGGCTATGCGGGTACATCGCAGGCCTGGATGAGCAACATGAAGTGCTAACACAGCCCTTTCCAACCTGCAGCCTCTGCTCTTCCCAAGAGACCAAAGTTCCTCAGCGGCACAGTTGGAGGCTCGCTGTCCTGGAAGTGCCACTGTGATCCCAAAGGGGCCTATGAGAAGAAGTATTTGTGCAGGTGGAAGGAAGGGAGCTGCTCACTGCTCCTGGATGCGGATGGGTTTGTGCATGAGTCCTACAAAGGGCGAATACAAATAGCCAGCAGCGACCAGGAGAATGGGACGTACGTGGTGGTGCTGAGCCACCTGAGAGAGGAGGATGCAGGATGGTACTGGTGCGGGGCTAACAATGGGCACACAGAGCACACATCCTCTGTGAAGCTGCACATCCAGAAGGGTAGGTGGTGGGATGGCTTGGAATACAAGAAATCCTTGTTCTCTTGTTCGATCACTCTTTTGTCTACCCTTTCATGCACATGAGAGTCGACTCTCCTTTGGACTATCCATAAGTAGAACAACATTATGAGATACATCAGCTACATGTTTTGCCTTACAATTACTGGCACGTAACTGAGGTGATGGTAAAGGTTTTCAGAGGCAGGGATGTAAGCTGAGCTTCCAGGGGAAATTTAGGCTGTTGGGATTCTATTGTTGTTTATTTATGATGCAACCCCCTGGTATATGACATCCTGAGCCCAGCAAGTGCAGCAGGCTTGTGCTTTGCTCTGAAGATAAGCTGAAGGTTAGCTTGCAGCTTTAGAACCCACAGCACGTAAACACACGTGTCCATGGGGCCATTTTCAGCTGGCAAAGAGTGGGGTTAAAGTATGAATAATTGCCTATAAGACATCTGGAAAGGGACTTTCTACAAAGGAATGTTAGGACAGGCCAAGGGGAATGGCTTTAACCTGCCAGAGGGGAGACTGAGATGAGCTCTGAGGCAGAAGCTCTTCCCTGTGAGGGTGCTGAGGCGCTGGCACAGGGTGCCCAGAGAAGCTGTGGCTGCCCCATCCCTGGCTGTGTTCAAGGGCAGGTTGGACACAGGGGCTTGGAGCAACCTGCTCTAGTGGAAGGTGTCCCTGCCCGTGGCAGGGGTTGGAGCTGGAGGAGCTTTAAGTTCCTTTCCAACACAAACCATTCCATGATTCCATGATTAATGGGTTTTCATTAGTAGTCCCCAAGCTGCTTTCTAGAAGACCCTGTAGGTCACATCGTGATGTGTATTTTTTCATACCAAAACACAAGGTGAAGTGCATAAACCTCTGTTAAATCTAACATTCAAACCTCAAAATAGTTCTCCCTACAGAAACCTGCTCTTCACAAGATCCAGCAACATCCACCCTTGTGAAACCCACCTTATCAAGCCTGGCTGCCTTCAGCACAACCATGCAGAGGAGCATCACGGGCCTGGCATATACAGAGGGCACCATCACCAAGAGCACCAGCACTCCATTGCCTGCCACCACCCCCGGCACCTTTGCCACCTCCCCAGGCAAAATCTATCATGAGAGGTATGTTCACAGCCACATTTCTTGTTGGCACTAACTTGGTGGTTTATGACCTGCCTGCCCCATTTCCCAGGGCCCTATGTACGTTGTGCACATGTTGCAAGTTGAAAACACCAGTAGGAGACAGTAGATGAGTAATTAGAGAAGCAGAAGTTAAGGTTATCTCATGCCTGTCTGTGGCATGCATCTTTGAACTTGTCTCTAAGCCTTCTGGTGCTGGCCTCCCCTTGTAGATCAGATGCCAGAGTCAATAGATGTGCTCCTGGTAGGACATTAGGAAACATCAGGCTTGAGCAATAACACTGGTGAATCTGTAGCTGCTACAAACTTCACTGCAGGCATTATCCAAGCCCCTAAAGGCAACCCGTAACCCAGGTAGTGTTTGGGTGCTGTGTTGCATAAGAAGCTGTCTTTCAACAAGGTTAGTCAAAAGGCTGTGGACTATTTTGGTTAGTACTTACTCCAAGGCGCTTCTCTGCAGCAAGCCCTGAGGCTCACCCCAGAACAAGTGGTTTCCCCAGTAAAGGTACCTTCTGCGTTTCCTGTTACATAGGATGGTTGTGAGCAGCTCCTGCACCTCTCGCTTCACTGCAGCCTCTATCCAGCACCGGGCAAAGCCATGTGCATGTTCATTGCAGATGCACCAGAGGACACCATGGAGCTGCTGCGAGGGCTGGAGCAGCTCTGCTCTGGAGCCAGGCTGAGAGAGCTGGGCTGGGGCAGCTGGAGAAGAGAAGACTCCTGAAGGGGACACCTTAGAGCAGCTCCAGTGCCTAAAGGGGCTCCAGGAAACCTGGAGAGGGGCTTTGGACAAGGGATGGAGGGACAGGACAAGGGGAATGGTTTGAACCTGCCAGAGGGGAGATTGAGATGAGCTCTGTGGCAGAAGCTCTTCCCTGTGAGGGTGCTGAGGTGCTGGCACAGGGTGCCCAGAGAAGCTGTGGCTGCCCCATCCCTGGCAGTGTTCAAGGCCAGGTTGGACACAGGGGCTTGGAGCAACCTGCTCTAGTAGAAGGTGTCCCTGCCCGTGGCAGGGGTTGGAGCTGGAGGAGCTTTAAGTTCCCTTCCAAACCAAACCATTCCATGATTCTATGATATTTCAGTATAAGTCATAGGTAAAGATAAACCACAAAGTCCACAAATCCAGTTCAATATCCTGAGCTGTCCCTCCATGCACTCTGGAGCTCTCATCTGCCCCAGGGACCCCCAGCAAAAGCAGCACCATCCCCAGCCTCCCTGCCTGTATCTCCCTGCTGACCAGCCAGAAAGAGGAAGGGAGAGCACGTTACCAGTCATAAGAAGGATCAGATTTTGCTTTGTTCCTGAAAGAGCTCTCTGCCTGTGGAGCTCTGATAGCACTTTTATAGAGCTCCATTTCCTTTTGAAGGGGTAATTTGGTTGGCAGTGGAAACCCTACGCAGCAGAGCAGAGGCTGCTGTAGAAATTACCTCCTCATAAGCCAAACTCCAGATCAAATGATTTCATCTGCACTTTGTTGACTGTTCTCCTCTAATTCAGTCTGAGTTTATAACTCCTTTTACACTCCTTGGTGTAGAAGTAACAGCCTGCATTAAGGTACTTCAACCACCCCATAGCTGAACCCAAATCCAGTGTAATTCCAGTGGTTCATTTTTCCAGCTCATCAGGTGAATCACCTCTGCTCCCAGTTGTACTACCAGTTCTCCTGTTACTGATGTTCATCACTATCACTATTCTGGCTCTGACCAAAATAAAGCTTCAAAAGGAGATGGGTAAGTCTGACCAAGCAAAACCTTTTGGCTTGGGGTTCCTGTTTTGCAAAGGGTTTAGTTGTGATTTCCAAGAGCTGGAGTCTGATCCACTGAAGATTTCCAGCTCTGCAGACATGCATCCATTCTGTGGGTCCATCCACATCTATCAGTGCAGCCTGAAAGCACGAGTGTATGTGAAAGCAAAGTCCTAGAGAAGTTAATTTTTAATGCTTAAGCAAACGAAGGAAGCAGAGATCCTGAAGCCCTGCTGAAGGTGTAGGTGGTTTATGGCTCTGTGGGCGCTTGGAAATCCTGAAATATAAAGGGCAGGGACCTGTGTGGCAAAAGCAGCTGCATGTTGGGCAGCTTCTCATGGCCACATCCAGCCTGCTCAGTGCAAAGATGACACAGACTTGTCCAGAAAGTTCTTGCCAATGACTGATGCTCAAGAATACATGTCTCTTGTTCTATAACATGTCGTGTCCCTAGAGAGAAATTTAGGGACAAAACCCTTTGGCAACAACCATGGTGAGTGGAAAGACATTTTTCACAAGAATGAAACTGGGGACTAATGGGCCCAATCCAGTGCCTGACCTGCTGGTGTGTTTAAACAGGCATTAGAGGGGGGTGTTCCCTCTGTCACACGCATGTGCTTTTGTTTTAAGGAGAAGAAAGAGGCGCTGAAGGAAATGCAGAAACAGCGCCGGTTCAGGCTGGTCTGAACCCTGTGAAGGAGCAAATGATGGAGAAAACCCTGAATCCAGAAGTGCCCAAATGCAGGACAGACTCCAGCAAACATAGGTAAGTGTCTTCTGGAACTCGCCGTTTTATGTCCCTTGATAGAAGAGAAGAAAAACTAATTCTAAGCAGAGGATTTGCAGCTTAGTACATAAAATACCCCCACAGGATAGAACCAAGTTTGCAGGCCAGGAATTACGATCCCAGGACTTACATTCTGATGCCAGATTATTGCCTGTATTAATTCCCAAGAGCAATAGATTTCAAAAGACTTGGATGAAATCCTATATGAGGTTTATAAATTTATTATAGGGTTGATTATAATTCTTGCTTACGCATAGTGAACATGTTATCACTCTTCCTGCTGCTTTGTTTCAATAAAGTTTGATTGCTCATGACCTTTTGCAATATCACCCAGAAGCAATTCTTGTTCACTGTGTTGCAATCCTAGTCTTTTTTGTCCTACTGGTGCAGGATAGTCTATGCTATCCTTGGAAGAATCAGAATGACCCACTCTATGTAAGTCTATGTCTTCTGGCAAAATACAACAACCATGGGCCTGTCTTGGAGTAATAAAACTCTTTAGAGAGGAGCTCTTGGGTTCAAACTGAAACAGGAGAAGTTCAGGTTAGATATAAGGAGAAAGCTCTTTACCATGAGGGTACTGAGGTGCTGGCACAGGTTGCCCAAAGTGGTAAATGCCCCATCCCTGGCAGTGTCCAAGGCCAGGTTGGACGGAGCCTTCGGTGACATGGTCTAGTGTGACGCATCCCTGTCCGTGGCAGGGGATTGGAAATGGACGATTTTAAAGTCCTTTCCCACCCAAACCATTCTCTGATTCTATGAATTTCCACAAATCGGACCAGTGAGAAGTATTCCATGAAAATAACAAATTAAACTGTGGAATAATGCTTCAAAAATTTGGTGATGGCATCTCATATCCTCATGTCAATGAGAATAAGTAGAATTATTTAGATCCAAACCCTCTGATTGTACAAGTAGGTGAAAATCAACTAAAGTCAGAGAGTTGCAGAGGGACACATGCAATTTGCACCCTCTGGAATGACCACCCACCTTCAGTGCACAGTGCTGCATGTACACTTCTATTTCTTTTCCTATTTGAAAGACCCACTGGCTTGATCAGAAGCAGCAAACAGATCTACAGACATCCCATTTAGACAATATACTGTAGGTGTCCAAAGAATTCTTCAGAGGGGCTTTAACGCCAAGGCCATAAAGGTTCAGATTGAGATCAGAGAGATCTAGATTTTGTGGAGAGTGATACAACTTGTTAAAACTCTCCACGTCTTATCCCTCTTTGGGGGATTTTAGGTGCACGAAGGGCTCTTGCAGTCCTAAATAGAAAGAATGGAAAGAAAAAAGCACACACACACACCTTAAACCCTTGAAAATAACCCACA